AAAAAAGCCCTTTGATATTTGAATTAGGAAGACTTGAGTTAGCTTGCAAGCCCAGCGAATACTTCCACTAGCAAACACTTTGTCTTACCTGGGCAACCTGGATTGGTACGCAATGCTTTCTTGTAGTAGGCAAGGGCTCCTCTATAATCTTTCTTGTTGAAAGAAATGCATGCTTTACCTGTTGTAACACACCAGTTACCAATAAAACAGAAATATAATCAAAGTAGTTATAAATCAGAAGCTTATAAGTATTATTTTATGCTGTGCCAATTTTCAAAAATTACCGTTAAAAACTAACATAAAATTCAGACAACTACAACTTATTACTTTTGATGGTGCCAAGTATATGAAAAAAATCAAACATGGGAAGATTAAAGTTATATTTTCATGGGTTTTGGCAGAAACTTAAAATTCTTTCCTGGTCCACAGGAAGGACACATACTAAGACTAGATTAATTAGCAAACAAATTAAAATACAAGTGTTACAGCTCACTGACCCCTTGCTACTGGTATCTTCACCTTTGACGGAGTACACAGCTTCCTTGGCATCATCAGGGATATATAAGTAGTTGGACTGGACGCATGCCCACAGCTCTCAGAATGTGCTAGCTAGCATTACGCTTTTTCCTAGCTCTTCCACCTAAGTATACTTCCCAAGTTTAAAGTCATCTCTGTCATGTGTTTCTCATCAAAAGCACACACTTCTTGATCACATTCTTTCTCTCTACTCACATATGCACCCCCTTCTTAAGCACATAATTCATTCCAAAACTCAACTGGAGAGACCAAGTCTTTATAAAAATACCCATAAACTCATACCGAGGAGGGCACAGAGTTATATGAAAATACACTGGCGAGCACAAGGTAAACCTTATTAAAATCCCAACATCTCTGACAACTGATGTTAGGAGTAAATACTGTTCAACTTGTAGCTATGTATTCCAGCAGTGTTTCTAGTAAGGTCAGAAGTAAAATTCATGAAATCTAAGTTCATGGATATGTAAATTGACAGAAGAGCTAGGTTACTTACAGTTTATTTTAAATGTATAATGTATTATATAGTATGTTATAAATTAAACATTTAATATAATGTACACGTGGAAGAAAGGGGAAGATATATATATCTATGTGTGTACATATACTTTATTTCAAACTACAAATTTTTATTTATTTTGCATTCCTCACTAAAAAAATATATTTAAAAGGTTATGGAATAACATTTTAATAGCTTTGAATGTTTACTCAGGTATCAAAAATGACACAGTACCCAAACTTTCAAGCTTGGGTCTCCTGTTCACATCTTAAACTTTACATATTCAAAACATCTACACAGGCAGGCATTCCAAAGTATCTTATGAATTAAAATATAAATCATACCCAGTTTCTGCAACATCCATGACATTCAACCTTGTCCTCATGCAGACTTAGGATTTTGCTCTTCACGTTTTCAAGCACATTAGGCTTTAAGTTTTAGAATTCTGTGTGCTGCAAAAGAGATTTACATCAACTTTTAATTTATTTTTTTAAAAAACTAGATAAGGGGTATTTGCAGTCACAGGCTATTGAACAGATCTGAACGATCTCATTTGCCAGGATAAGTACAAAAAGGTTAAATGTTGTCACTTTAAGTGCTTAGACAGAAGTGGAAAGGGTTCTGTAGAAGAAAAAAAGAGGGACAGCAGAAAAGTAAATAATCAGACAAAAGACTATGGATACTAGAGACATGAAAATTAATTGCTTTTTCTATTTAATTTCTATGTATAGAAGTCAGTATATAGTTTATATTATAAATCACATTAATGAAAAAGACATTGAAAACAACCAGCCACCCCCAGGAAACAGAGAAAGATTTGTTGACATATTCCCAAAAGCTTTCTTCATCTTCAGGCTGATTCTCAGGCTTCATCCTTCCTGAGAATTTCAGCACAACTGTTCATTGTTATTTTTGGAACTGACTTCTACACTCAAGTACTTGCTTGTATAATGTGTTTTCCTTTCTTTAAACTTTCAGCTAAAACCATGGCTTTTAGAGAGCATGTACAGATTTCAGAATGAAAATAACTGTTTTAACAGTTATACAAAGCAAGGAGATGTTTTAAATAAGATCTAGTCCCTCCACTACTTTTGTAACATGTCCAAAAGTGCAATTATAGTAGCAGAAGACATTGATTTATGTACCCATTTTGTAGGTTTTTTCCTACCTTCAATTTTCAGTACACAAATAACATTCCGTTGAACATGGAGAGCGTATTTTATTTCAACCATTTTACCAAAAGTATCTGCTGTTATTTTATGTCAAAGTACCTGTCAAAAAACATTTTATGAAAAATAATTTTATCAGAAAGACTAGAAGATGATAGAGATGCTAGATCTCAATGTTCTTGGGCTAGCTACTAGTGTGTTAAAACATCAAGTAATTTTGATCTGTGAATTGAGCAATTTTATTTCAAAGAACATGGTATCAGAACTAACAAGTCCTCCCAGAAGAAAGCTTTGGCAGAGAATAATCACTGTAGTCTCCATCTCAAACTATTTTTTTTCTTTTTAAAACTTTTGGTCTGTTCAAGTGTAAACCTTGGTAAAACTAAATATTTTAAAAAGAGATAGAATACAGAATGGCAACATTCCTCAAGTTCATTGCAAGTATTAAGAAAAAATTACTATCTCTCTAGGTGTACATCTAAGTAAAATCTTAAAGACACCAATTCTCTGAGCAAACAATCTATACTAGAAATCAGTAGCTCGGTTCAGTATAATTAGTGCATAAATAAAAACTTAAAGTTGGGATTCAGAATGTTAACTAATTAAAAATACTTGCTTTGGCTTCGGAGAACAGGTAACTGCAAGTAAGCTAGTTGTTACTACTATAATAGATACTATTATAGCAATTCACAATTAAAATTTTAAATAAAATGTAGTAATTTAATGCTTTATAGTTATGACTATCAGTTCAGACCACATTCTGTATTCTGTGGATGGTTAGCTAGAGGACAAAATCAAGTTTGCTTTAGGGTTTACTAAGCTGTGTAAGTAGCATGTCACCGATTTTTTTTTTTAATCTTCTTAGTAGAAATGTGCCAGTGGATCTTTAAGTCTTACTACCTTCTTTTTTTTTTCCCCATGGTACAGCTGCAAAAATAACTAACATTAGTCATATGTTATGATGCATGCTGTGTTTTATCCAAATACATCAGTGCATCTGCCATCGCAATTGGAAAGAAAAAACAATTTAGGAGCCCAATTTTTTCATTTCTTCTGTGCTCATGCACCTCCATGTGGCTGAACGCCTCACACCAAGCAAGTCCCAGGATCAGGGCCTAGGCTCAGGAGTCAGAACTTTATCGGGTTCAGTATTTGTAATTAAAAGCAGGTGGATAATTTGCAAATAGTTGGCCACACTGTGGCTAAAAAATTGTAGATGCGTATTAACGATATTACACCAACTAAGCTTGTCAGATGGCACGGATTTGGATTTATGCCTTGTTTCTCAGCAAAGGCGGGGAAAACCCAGACACTTCAGTGCACCTGGCTGGAAGCCTTTACCGGCTGCAAAGCGACATGAGAAGAGGCACGGCCGGGGGCAGCCGCGGGTGCGTTCGGTGTGCCGCACCGCGTGCACTGCCGTACCGCGTTCCCGTAGGTAAACACTGGTCTGTACGCGTAAGCCAGCGGGACAATACCTGCCTGCCGTCCCGGCCGCGCAGGCCGGGGCGCGGAGGGGAGGGCTGCGCTCTGGGCTGCGCGCGGGCGGTCGTCGCTTCCTCTCGGTAGTTTTGCCCCGGGCTCAGGGGGGCGTCGCTCCCTCCCCTGAGCGGGACCGGGTGCTGGGGACACCGGCGTGTCGTTCTGCGGGAAGAAACCCCAGCCCGCCCTCTCCAGTGTCCCCCGGCCAGCGGCGCCTGCCCCGTGCTGGCCGTGACCCCCCGGCCCTGCCCGGTGTCCCGTGGTACTACAGCTGCCCCTCTTCCTTGCTGTCAAATAAGTTGTAACACAGATGAGCAATATTAACGGCAGCATGACTGAGTAGCAAGTGAACTAAAGGTTAAGATCTGTTCCCAAACATCCCACCTTGGGAGTATCTGTTCCTTTTTCCTCATTTTCCATATCAGAAGAGTGGGTCAACGTGGGAAAATCGTACTTGCAAAACAATGCTCGCATTTGCTCATGATGGCTGTCGTCGTTAATGTTCAGAAATTTAGTCTGTTCTTTATAACGTTTGTCACTTCAACAATCCCTTAATTTTATTGGGCATAAAGCTGACTTTACAAAATTTCAGGGCTCTGAGATAAAACCTAGGTATTTATTCTCCAACACCTGACTACTTGGAATATTTTGACTGTATCCTAGATCTTTGTATTACCTGTAATACAGGTACTTTTAGAAGTTCAGTGGTGTGCAGTTACGTTGGTTATTAGTTGAACTTTAAAAATTCTGAGCCTGAAATCTGTGGTGGAAGAAGTTGAGTTAGCATCTCTGCTTATTTTCCCCGACTACTATCCCAAACGTTGGGCTGTCTTTTCTCTGATATTTGTGAGAGGCCATCACTTCTGTCTTGTTCAGAATGCAGTAGTACGTTATCACTTCCTTTGTCCATAACCATGTTTAAACAAATAATTATTTCTGTTTTGTGATCTGAAATGTCCAGCTTCCTTTGAACTCAGCGATAAATAACATCATTAATGCTTCGCAAAAAGAAAATCTGTATTGTTTGGTTCCAGGTTATTGAGCTTGACTTCGACCAGTTACCTGAGGGTGATGAGGTTATAAGTATACTGAAACAGGAACATACTCAGCTGCACATATGGATTGCCTTAGCGGTTAGTATATATACTTTTATATATATATACTTTTAATTTAAATATTATATTTTAAGATAATCAAGTAATACTTTCCACTCCCTTACTTTTATGTCAGGGATAGCTGAATTCTGAAGAGAGTTATTCGGTCACTGATTCTGGGCCAGATATTTCTGATTTGACATATGCATCTTTTTTCATGAAACAATGCTGTTTGAGGCCTGCTGTTGAATTTGGGGTTTTTTTGATCTATACTTGTCCTGGTTTGTGCCTTTGTTTATGCACTTCATAAAAAAAGTGCATGGAAAGTATGGTGAAATGTGCAAAAAGTCAAAGTAGTTCAGAGGAAAAACAATTGATTCTTCACTTCTAAATCACTCTAAGACTTGTGTCTCAGTGTTGGGGTGCTGACAGAAAAATATTTGGCAGTTTTCGAATGCCTTTGATTATCCCTACATGTATGTCTGATTTGTCCCTACATCCTGGAAAAGAATCTGTGTGACACCTAAAGCATCAGCTTGAGATGTTACTGACTCATTGGGTTAGCATCATCTGTTAAACCTGTATGTCTTATAGCTGGAATACTACAAACAAGGAAAAACAGAAGACTTTGTGAAGCTGTTGGAAGCTGCACGCATAGATGGTAACTTGGACTACAGAGACCATGAGAAAGATCAAATGACATGTCTGGATACTCTGGCAGCGTACTATGTACAGCAGGCTCGGAAGGAGAAGAACAAAGATAACAAGAAGGAGCTCATTACACAGGCTACCTTGCTCTATACTATGGCCGACAAAATTATCATGTATGATCAGGTAAAACCAAAATCTGGGTAAAAATCCGTATGTGTAAATTATTTAGTGATTCTAAAGCAAACACCAAAGGGAGGATAGGAACTGCTCGGGCTTTAAAGTCTGTAAGTGTAGCACATATAAGCAGAACTTGTAAATACCTGAAATGTGCGTGGTGCCACCAGGAATAATTACCTCTAGCTTGGGACGCTGGACAGAACTATGTCAGTCAGCCTGAGGGTTGTTGTTTGCTCTATTGCTTGATGATATGTGAACTTTAGAAGTGGATGGAAAAGACCCTTTTAGTTTTATTTTTCTTCCTAATGCAGGAGAAATAAATGAATTACAGAAAGCATTGTAGCATAGCCAGTTAATCTTTCATGTAGTCTAATCTTAACGTTTTACAACAATAAATGTATTGCCATTTTTTTTTTTCCTTATCTAGAATCACTTGTTGGGAAGAGCCTGCTTTTGTCTGCTTGAAGGTGATAAGATGGACCAAGCTGATGCACAATTCCACTTTGTGCTGAACCAGTCTCCAAATAATATCCCTGCCCTCCTCGGTATGAGTTTATGGGTATTTTTATAAAGACTTGGTCTCTCCAGTTGAGTTTTGGAATGAATTATGTGCTTAAGAAGGGGGTGCATATGTGAGTAGAGAGAAAGAATGTGATCAAGAAGTGTGTGCTTTTGATGAGAAACACATGACAGAGATGACTTTAAACTTGGGAAGTATACTTAGGTGGAAGAGCTAGGAAAAAGCGTAATGCTAGCTAGCACATTCTGAGAGCTGTGGGCATGCGTCCAGTCCAACTACTTATATATCCCTGATGATGCCAAGGAAGCTGTGTACTCCGTCAAAGGTGAAGATACCAGTAGCAAGGGGTCAGTGAGCTGTAACACTTGTATTTTAATTTGTTTGCTAATTAATCTAGTCTTAGTATGTGTCCTTCCTGTGGACCAGGAAAGAATTTTAAGTTTCTGCCAAAACCCATGAAAATATAACTTTAATCTTCCCATGTTTGATTTTTTTCATATACTTGGCACCATCAAAAGTAATAAGTTGTAGTTGTCTGAATTTTATGTTAGTTTTTAACGGTAATTTTTGAAAATTGGCACAGCATAAAATAATACTTATAAGCTTCTGATTTATAACTACTTTGATTATATTTCTGTTTTATTGGTAACTGGTGTGTTACAACAGGTAAAGCATGCATTTCTTTCAACAAGAAAGATTATAGAGGAGCCCTTGCCTACTACAAGAAAGCATTGCGTACCAATCCAGGTTGCCCAGGTAAGACAAAGTGTTTGCTAGTGGAAGTATTCGCTGGGCTTGCAAGCTAACTCAAGTCTTCCTAATTCAAATATCAAAGGGCTTTTTTTGTGATCTGTATCTGTCAAAAAAAAACCCAGCCCCCAGAATGTAAAAAAAGTCATAAAGTTGAAATTTTGGTATTTTGAATCATGTCATCTTGTTCTCTAGCTGAGGTTCGATTAGGAATGGGCCACTGCTTCGTGAAACTGAACAAGCTGGAAAAAGCTCGCTTAGCGTTCAGCAGGGCTCTGGAGCTAAACTCAAAATGCGTGGGGGCTTTGGTGGGACTGGCTGTTCTGGAACTCAATAATAAAGAGGTGGGTCTGTCTTAACAAGGATTTGTACTCAGTTTACTTCTTACCTGAAAAAGCAAACTTTTTATCCTTCGAACGGTAGTCCAGTTTTTAAAAGGGGCAATAACCTTTGTGGTTAAATCACTTTTAAGTCTGTGTCACTACTGAATGATGTTACAGATACGTGCTTGTGATGTGAGCAGCACATTCTGAGTAACTTTTTCTTCTGTTGTTAAAAATCTTTAACTCTGTTCCTTATAGAGGTGTTGAGTACAGAAAAACAGTGCTAGGTCAACTATTTTAATTAAAATAATAAAAATCCATGGGGAGATGTGTGAATGCATGTCAAATTATTTAAAAAACCCGAAAGTGCTGATTTCAAAATCTTACTTTAATGAGTAGTAGTTATAATATGTATAGTAGCCAGCCTTGCATAGTCATTTGTGACTCTGAAGGGTAACTAAGTCAGTTTGTACTTGAGATTCTCTACAAGTCCTCAAATACTTGAAGACCTCACTTGCAATGGCAGCTTTTTTCCAGATCATTGGGAATTTTTGTTGGAAGAGCGTCATGCTAACAGGAAAGTCAAGGTGAAAGATGTAGTCTCATGAGATTAGTCCTGAACTTTAAGGAACATAACCTTCCAAACAACTGTAAAAGTTGTATTTAAGATGCCTTGGCATGCATGCCATGTGGTAAACCAAAGAGTAGGCAAGAACAAATTTTAAGCAGGCTGATGAAACTACAATAAAGTGGTGATCCTACCTCTCTAGATGTTATCACTAGAAAAATACATATGCTCATATAGCTTAATTGGGATCATCAGATCCGAGATGGTTAATCCATGCCAAGGAAGTTATTAGTGGAGGATAGGATCTTTGTGTAAGTGGTTTAAAAAAAAAAAAAAAAAAGTTGTATGTTGCTAACATTTAGTGTTAGGGTGTCTGTAGAACACATAGCTCCCTAGAAAGATCTTTTGTTAGCACAGAATGATTGAAAATTACTTTCGTTTCCTGTGTCACAGGAAAAAAAATATTTTTTTTGAAGATGTTGTAAGATAGAGCTTTTGAGATGGTGCAGATAACTTCCCGTGTTTCCTTTAGGCGGATTCCATCAAGAATGGTGTTCAGCTCCTCTCTAGGGCTTACACAATCGATCCGAGTAATCCCATGGTGTTGAACCACTTGGCTAATCATTTCTTCTTCAAGAAGGTAAGAGGTCTGTGGAATTTTACAGTTAAATGCTTGATAACTTCTGAACAACAAGGACTGTGGTTTTAGGTTCAGTCTCTTTTCGTCAGGCTAAGTGGTGCCTAATATGGAAGTGTTAATCTAGGTGCACAGGTGTAAAGGTTTTGACTTAAATTTTCTGTAAACCTTTTTCAAGAAAAGAAAAGGTACGCTTACTTTTTAAGTCATGATCACCTTTGTGTTGTTTTGGTGTTTGGTTTGGTTTTGTTCTTCCATGCTTTAAAATATGAAACAGAGAAAAGAACGGTAACCAGTAAAACTAAACCTGTTATTAATTTAGTCAGTGCTATGGCTAAAGCTTTCTTGTATTTTCCAGCTATCATTGTTTAAATAATAAATCACTGCGCCATAAATCAAGTGAAGACTTTCAAATTTCATTTAACTTCCTTTTTTTCAGGACTATGGTAAAGTACAACACTTGGCTCTTCATGCTTTCCATAATACCGAAGTTGAAGCAATGCAGGCAGAGAGTTGTTACCAGCTGGCTAGGTCTTTTCATGTACAGGTAGGGCAGTTTTCAAACTGAGATTACGCTTTAAAAATCTGTCTTACAAAAGTTCATACAAAGCTTACCTGTTCTTTGATTACTTCTTTCTCATTAGGAAGATTATGATCAAGCTTTCCAGTATTATTACCAGGCCACTCAGTTTGCCTCATCTTCTTTCGTACTTCCATTTTTTGGATTGGGTCAAATGTACATTTATCGAGGGGACAAAGAGAATGCGTCACAATGCTTTGAGAAAGTTTTGAAAGCCTATCCTAACAATTATGAGACTATGAAAATCCTTGGATCTCTTTATGCGGCATCAGAAGACCAGGAGAAACGGGATATTGCAAAGGTGAGTTTTGCTTCTGCCAACATCATGCCTTTACATACAAGAGTAGAACTTAAAAATCAGACTTGAAATCAGGCTGTAGCTGAAGTTGCATAAAACTCAGGGTTACTTGGCTGTAGGTATAGATTATTTAATATTGGCTGTCATGAGAGATCCTCTGAACTGTGGAGAGGCACAACTTCTCGACAGAGCTGAGACTCTTACAGGGCTCTGGCTAAAGCAAGTCCAGGAACTTAGAGAAGCCCCAGCCTCACATTTGTATTTGGTACTATGAAAAGAGCAGAATTCCTCACATATATATTATAATTCTGTGAAGATGGTGAGTTAGCTAATGTTTTCCTGAAGACAGCAAATTAGCTAGTGAGTTTCATAAAACACTTGTCCTAGCTTCTCTGGAAGGACAATGTTATGCTTTTTTTTTTAAATGAAAGTGTGTTTTAATGTAATGTTGGGTAACTAAATACAAAAAAATGTTAGACATCATTTTTCTTGCCTCTCGTGTTGGTGTAATAGTTCCTGCTTCTCTAAGACTTCAAGCAGGTGTTATATTCTACAGAAAAATACAGTAATGAAGGAAGGAAACTAATGCAGGTTTTTTGTGACAAAATTGTGCAGATATTTAAGATGTTTTCTTTTGCAGTGTGGAATATCTTTCTAGTGTTAAGGTTAATACGTTCACTCTTTCTTTTGATCATATTTATATTTTTTTTTAACAGTTTGTGTGTCCGCAAAGAGGCATAATTATTTTTTTGCTGTTTTTCAGGGACATCTGAAGAAAGTCACAGAACAATATCCTGATGACGTAGAGGCATGGATTGAGCTAGCCCAAATTCTGGAACAGACTGATATACAGGTATTATTAATATCCACCTGGTGAGCTATGTGTGTGCTTCTCACGAGCACAGAGAGCTCATTCTCTTATTTCTTTTATCCCCTTTCTCTTCCTTTGTAAAGGGTGCACTGTCAGCCTATGGTACAGCCACACGCATTCTGCAAGAGAAAGTACAGGCTGATGTCCCACCAGAGATTTTGAATAATGTGGGTGCTCTGCACTTCAGGCTGGGAAACCTAGGAGAAGCAAAGGTTTGTGCTTCCTCACAGTTTGATCCCCTGGAAGTTTTCCTTTAAGAATATTCTGGAGTGCTTTATTCCTTTTTTCTTTTTATACTTTAGAAATACTTTTTGGCATCGCTGGATCGTGCAAAAGCAGAAGCTGAACATGATGAGCACTATTACAATGCTATCTCTGTAACAACGTCCTATAACCTCGCCAGACTCTATGAGGCTATGTGTGAATTTCATGAAGCGGAAAAACTCTATAAAAACATTTTAAGAGAACATCCTAATTACGTTGATTGTAAGAAACATTTGGTATTTTAGTTTCACAGTCCTCCTTTTAATCCCAAAATTCTTTCCATTTACAGTGTCTTCTGGTCACGCTTTTTTTCAGAGTAGTTTTGGGGCTTACCTCCATGCTATTTCCCTACCTTTTTTTTTTTTTTTTTTAAGGCCTGCATCATCCTTATAGTCTAATATCCATCTTTAAGCCTTCGAATTATTGGTAAATCATACTGTACTCCAAAAATCTAGCAAAATTAGCTTATCTAGACTTGCATGCCTTTGTGTACTTGTGCCCCACCCCTAACAAAGCCTTGGTACCTCAGCCCTCGGGTGCAATCAAGGCCATCCACTTGATACCCCCAGGCTTTGCAATGCTGCCTGTGTGGGTGGAAATAGAGACCCTTTGGGAGAATCATTTTATCTTGGACCTTGGCCTTCCTCAAGGGAAGAAGAGCTGGTGAGGGTGTTAGCACAGCTTCTATGGCACATCCTGTTTTCCTTCCTCACTCTGCTTTTCCTCTTGCCCTCAAGCAGCTGACCTGTGATATTTGCTGCAAAGGCAAGGTGGTAGCTTTGCTCAGCAAGCTGCAGCACACAGCATGCCCCAGCCTCACCTACAGCCTTTTCCCTGTTTGTTTTCTGCTGTCACCTGCTAACTGATACTCTTCCTAAAGACTGTGGAGTTGGAAGGGCTGTTTAAAGTGAAGGGAGAGAGTTATGTAATTCATGTATCCTTTCTTTGAGGTTTCTCAATTGTCTTTAACCTCCAAAACTAATGAAAAACATTCACATTACTTTAACTGTTAGAAATCTGCAATTTCTGTATCACCATTGTGGATGGACGTTCCTCTTCACGTGGTGTGTCTCATTGTGAATAGGTATGAAAGGTGTCTCGATGTTTGCTGTCCTTGGCAGACCAACAAAAAGATTGCTTTTGAAATTCATGCATGGCCAATATTTTCTTTGTTTGAAATAACTGTAACCTGTTTCCTGATTTTTTAAAAAAAATTTTATTTTCCATTTTTATTTTTAGGCTACTTGCGCTTGGGAGCTATGGCTAGGGATAAAGGAAATTTTTATGAGGCTTCTGATTGGTTTAAAGAAGCACTTCAGATAAATCAGGTTTGTAACCCTTTAAATGTTTAAAGTTAAAACACTTGAAATATTACCTTAAAATTTTGTTTTCCTTTCATTGCGTTTTGATTTTGTTCACATAAATTAAGGGAAGAAAAAACTAATATAATCTGCTGTCTGTGTGTTTTGTTATGTTTTTTTTAAAATACGGAATTCTGTTTAAGAAAAATAGCGTTTTATAATTGAAAAAGTAACCTTGCAAGGGAAAATTATGCTTTTGCAAATTACAGTGAATTTTTATTTAGGACCATCCAGATGCTTGGTCTCTGATTGGCAATCTTCATTTGGCTAAACAAGAATGGGGTCCAGGACAGAAGAAATTTGAAAGGATATTGAAACAGCCCTCCACACAAAATGATACTTACTCCATGCTGGCTCTTGGCAACGTCTGGCTACAGACACTACACCAACCTACAAGGGACAGAGAAAAGGTAATGGGAGTCTGTCTGCCCTGTGTGTGGCTTTATTTATTTAACTTTTGTAGGCTCTTAGCTACTCAGAGCCTTTCCTTGATGCTTCTTTGGCATCTTATACTGTGTAAAACTCCTGGGTAGATCTTTTAATACCCCATTATAGAAATGAGTGATTAACTGAGGTACTTCATTCTGCAGGAGAAGCGTCATCAAGACCGTGCATTGGCAATCTACAAGCAAGTACTCAGAAATGATCCAAAGAATTTGTATGCTGCTAATGGCATAGGTGAATATTAGACTCTAATTTTCCTTCAGAGGTGATGATATTCTTACATTTCATGCTTTAGTAGAGAATTGTTTTTGCAGGGCCTCAATGCTATGTAGTGGAGCACAGGAAAGGGTAGCTTTCATGTGCAACTATGTCACTTAGTTTTTAATGGGGAACTTCATTCAGGCAATATTTTGTTTTCTTTGGAAAGAGTACATAGTACATGAACCTAGAAGCTTACACTGTAAATATTACTCTCCCCTTAGGAGCTGTCTTGGCACATAAAGGATATTTCCGTGAAGCTCGTGATGTTTTTGCCCAAGTGAGAGAGGCAACAGCAGATATCAGTGATGTGTGGCTGAATTTGGCACATATCTACGTAGAACAGAAACAGTACATCAGTGCTGTGCAGATGGTAACATCTCTAAATTGAACTAAATAATATGTTGGGTTAGATGACTTCTGGGTGTCTCTCTGCTGTTACAGCAGCTGTGAAAGTTTCTGAATAATATTTTAACAAGTTAGGTCTGTTTCTAGCATGCTGTTAGCTGTCAAGTCTAGATTTAAAACCAGACTGCCAAATGGGTAAGGGGTAACAAAGAAACTACCATTTGTACACTTTTTTTTTTGTTGTTAGCAGAGTTAAAACATAATTGGAGTAGAATTTTGGTCACAGAATTAATTTTTAGTGAGAGAGGTTTCAGTCAGTGTAGTTAACTGTATGTGATTTACATTCAGATGTTACTGAAGAAAGTAAATGCAATTTGTTGCTGGGATTTTTTTAATAGCAACAGTTCCTGTTTTTGTTCTTGCAAATGATTGCATAAGTAATAATTGGAGCTGTCTGAAAAGCTGACTGTGCCATGATTTCTTCCACCAAAGTTAATATCACAGGGGAATTCATGTTGGAAGAAATTGGTTGAGGTCATCTGGTTCAACCCTGCTCAAGCAAGCTAACTTCCAAATATCAGCCTATTCCAACTAAATTCCCTCAATTGTTCAAAAGCATACAAGTAAGCTCAAAAATAAAAAGAAGCGTATGCTGAACAGGACAGAAGCTAAGGACAATATTCTTTCCTTGAGAGTGGGTCCACACTGAGGCTCAGAAATACTTAAAGGAATGTTGAAGCCTTTTGTGGTGGTCATAAGGAAGAGATAGGGGGCCTTTCTTGTCTGATCAAGACCTCACCAGTCCCTCTCCTCTAGTGAACTATTGTTAAAAAGCTTTGGTAACACAATCCAATTCATTCTGTTGTGTTTGAGTTGCAGTGGGAAACTGGGTATCATTTTCACCTTTTGATTTGTCAGAAAAATGTTGTACTCATTTGCTAATATTTAACTAAAGCTGTTAGTAGAAATGCGTTTATTTACTGCAGTGTTTTATTGTTCCCTGGGTTGTGCTATGCAGCCAGTACAAGCCACAGTCTGAGATACATGATACTGGACTCAAAGAGAGATGAATTGAATTGAATAGTCTAGCTTATTACAGCCACAACAATTATTCGACTATACTCTACCTTAAAGCGTACAAATCCGAGGCAGACACAGGCTAAATACAAAAACTTTGACTCTAATGGCGAGTGAAAATTGGGCGCTCACAACAGTGTGATCCAAGAGCAGTGACTTCAGGCATTACAGTTAGGGCAGTTCCTATATTGAGCTGGAAATAAAAATGACTTTGTGTTTCTTACTGTTTTGGAGGTTTAGAAAGGGTGAATGATTCCTTGAGAAAAGAGTTATGTCAAACAGAAGGTGCTTGTTACTGAAAAGGATGCAGGTTTTGTAACTGAAGCTTTGATTCTAGACCCACAAAACCTATAGTAACAAGTCTTCCTTTACACTTTAGACAACTAGATAACCCTTGGCATGCCAAGTTATTCAGCTAGGTGGACAAAACAAACACGTTGCTGAGTTATCTGAAAGGTGGATATTTTTTTTAATTAATTGCATCAGATATATGGAATTACTACATTAAATATGTTTTAATTTATAAAATATCTTGTATGAATAAAGAAAATAGATTTCACATCATACAGCAGAGAATGATTGAGTGCACTTAAAATAAGTCATGTTTGTTGGACTTACTTTGCAAGTACCACCTATTGTACCTGTTCTGTTGTATTTTAAGACATAGAGAGCCTCCTGGACTGCTGTCAGTTTTCAGGAAAATCAGGTACTTGCTACAGAACAGCAGAAAGACTTTTCTGATCAGTGAAAAGGAGGCATCTATGTAGCATGACACACTTAAAAAAACAAAAGGCATATTGCAGTAATGCTTTTTAGGAGTAGAAACAGTTGCTAGAGTTAGGTTAAATAAGTAATGATTGTCGCCTCTTACTTGGATTTTTTTTTTTTTCCATTTCAGTATGAAAACTGCCTCAGGAAGTTCTATAAGCATCAAAATACTGAAGTATTACTATATTTGGCCCGGGCGCTCTTCAAATGTGGGAAATTACAGGAATGCAAACAAACTTTGTTAAAGGTACGAATATAAAATATCGTATGTCGCAGAGTGAAATTACTGTGAGTTGGTGCATGTTGGTGTCTCTAAATTCTGTAGTCTTGGATTGAAATAATGGTGCTTACTCTCTGTGTGTCACTTCAGTATACCCCTGTATCACACTGCAGCACATCTTCACAGCGTGCTTTTTATTTACAGGCCAGGCATGTAGCGCCAAGTGATACAGTCCTTATGTTTAATGTGGCTTTAGTGCTCCAAAGACTAGCTACCTCTGTCCTGAAAGATGAAAAAAGCAATCTAAAGGAGGTGCTTAATGCTGTGAAAGAACTGGAGCTCGCCCACAGGTAAAGATGATTTCTTTCTAATCATTATCATCTATTTTGTTGTTCCCTTGTGGTAAATTTGCAGCATAGCTCACAAATCTGGTTAGACGCAATCATCTCCTGTGAAGCGCTGTATGTAATTCTAGAGTTTCTAGTAGGAAAATAAAGATTGAGCCTGACAAAACTATGTATTCAAACTTGCTCAAGAGCCAGTTTTGTTTGGCCAGGTGGACAATATCTTTCCCAAAGGGTTTTATATTACTACGATGAAGATGTGCTTCTTCCTGGAAAAGCACAGCTGAAAAAAAAACCCTTGAAAATTATTCCACTAACTTAATACTTTTTTTTGATGGTTTCTTTCAAAGCAGCCTATAAGGCTCAAAACCAAACCTATTTATATTGTATAAGGCTAGGTAATGATTGGTAGTTCTTGAAAACGAATTTTGCCCTCCTTGGCAAATAAAGCCTCAGTACTTTCATGTCTTAAGAACAGAAGGAATTTCAGTGTGTTTGGGATCTTTTAGTTCTCTTCTTAAAAGAAAGAAAAAAATCTGGGCAGAGAACAGTGTGATTAATCTGATCCAACTGTAACCATCTTTTTCAACCACTTACTCTGCTCCTAGGTATTGCGGGTGTACCTGGTGCTTGCTTTATGCGTTCCTAGCTCTGCTGTTATGTTGAGGATCGATGTTGCCTTTCAGTAATTTTGGCAACTAAAGCAAGCCTCTCATACAAGCAAGCACTTCACAATTCTGTTGCTTTACATAATGCAAACTAAACATTCAGACACAAATTCTAACTTAAACTCCATTAGAAGCTTGATGTTACTGTTTTGAGAAAGTTGCTTGAAAGCCTTTATTTTTCAGATGTCTATCACTTTGGAAAATATTTTCAACAACCTAAAACTTTAGCAAGAAATTATTTTCTCCATATGCACAAGAACTTGAGTTCAGTCTAGCACAAAAGCACGTCATTTAAAACATCTTTAATGGAATATGGGAAGAAACTGGCAACCTTGAAAGTTAGGAAGTTGTTTTCTTTAAATTAATTGAAGAAACTGTTTTCAAGACACTGATCATCACAGCTTACCCATCTACTTAAAGGTTTGTTGTATTCATGAGGGCCTGTCAACTAGGCTCAAGGAGGGTGTTCTGGAAGGACTTTTAAAAAACAAGATTTCCTTCTTTTCCTTAGGCTGGATTCAGGCAATGAAGCTGTGGCAGATAAGGAATAAATGTGCTGGGATCAGCAATGTACTTATTGCTAGGAGCAGTAAATGAAATCTTAGAACTCTCTTTAGAATTTTTCAGGGGTTTTGTTCTGCTCTAGAGTGGTTTTAGAATGTTTTAAATTTGGAGAACTGTGAATATACATTTATACTGTTGTATTAAAAGGGTCTGCACAGAGAAAATCAGTGAGATTTACTCATCTGTTGAGTTTGATAAGATTGTAATTCAGGAGTAAATGCTTTGGTTTAAGGCAAAATTACAATAAATATGTAAGTAATGCCATATTTACTTAGTTTTGTTGTTTTTTCCTCCAGGTACTTTAGTTACTTGAGTAAAGTAGGTGATAAGATGAGATTTGACTTGGCACTTGCTGCTACAGAAGCCAGGTAAAAAACCAACCCCAAACCCACAAACAAATCCTTCATTAGAGACCAAGTGGAATATTTTTGTCTTGTTTTTCGTGCTAAAACTGGGTTCCAAAATTTAAACTGACAATGTCTTAGAACAGTAGAAATACAAGTGAAGGGTTACTCCCTGCTACTGTTTCATTCTTTTCCTGGTTTTGCTTTCTAACAGTTCTGTGCAGTCTAAAACTCACCGTGTGGTATCTGCTGTTAGCTGGAGCCTGCAAAGCTTTAGCTGTTTTAATGGCAAATTTTCCATCACTGTGTGTGAAGTGACGTTTATTTAAACATCTCTGGCTCTCACTGTTTCAACTTTAAACATAATAATCTAACAAGTTTGCCTTCACTGAGATTTTTTGAGTAGTTTATGGGTGAATAGCATTGGTCATTTATTAAAACATGAAAAACTTGTTTTGCAGAGTCTAGTCTGCTTTAACTTTTGCTCAGGGTAATGAGCTTACACACAAGCCTATTGAAATCAGTTTCATTTATTGTATATTCTAAGATTTTCATAGCCATATACAAACAAAATCTGTTGGCCATCATGCACTGTACATCTTAAATAAAGCACTTTGTACAGAGGAAAAAATTTTGATCTTAATATTAAAAGAGACGTCACTGTAACATGAGCCAAAGGGTATTGAACGCGCGTAGCTTACTCGTGCTTTAGTTTACTCAGAAGTCTGTACTACTCTTCTATTTTGCCATTTCAAGTAATCTGTTCTCTTTGTCGGGGGTACGAACGTAGTGTGACGCGTGCCCTTCATAAAACTGTTTCTTCTGGTAGTATGTGTCTGCCACCTTCCTTTACTTGAAAACGTTGCATGTTACAGGCAGTGCTCTGACTTACTGAGTCAAGCCCAGTATCACGTGGCTCGGGCACGCAAACAGGATGAAGAAGAGAGGGAGCTGCGTGCAAAGCAAGAGCAAGAGAAGGAGCTGCTTCGCCAAAAACTACTTAAAGAACAGGTTTCATTCTGTTACATTCTGTATACTGTATTTTTAAAAACGTATACTTCACTTTTAAAAAGTATGCTTGTCAACAATATATATCCTCTTGTTGCTCTGTGGCAGTACCTGGTGTTACTGATAAAATGTCTAGTAGCTGTTTTTTGTAGTTATAGTAAGTGCTAGCAGAAAATCTTTTAAACTAATCACTCTTTCTTCCCCATAACCTCAGAAATAGTGTTTTATTTTTATAATGAAGTAAAATTGGTGCCCCAGTAGGTCTGCGGCCAAATTTCTGTACTGACAGGCTGGATGAGGAAGCACTTGGTGCAACAGTTCTTTCAGACTTTTCCCTGCTCTACCGTAGGCTTGGAGAAAACTTTTTTTTTTGCCATGTGGACCTTCTGCTGTGACATAGACTGTTAAAAATCAGTTTTTCAGTTTCTTGTCAGCAAATAATTTATATGCCTGCAATTATAATCACCACAAATTCAATAGTTTTCTCTCTGTTTCAGGAAGAGAAGCGCCTAAGAGAAAAAGAAGAACAGAAAAAACTTCTGGAACAAAGAGCTCAATATGTGGAGAAAACCAAGAATATTCTGATGTTCACTGGTGAAGTAGAAGGATCAAAGGAGAAGAAACGTGGTGGTGGCGGAGGCAGGGTAGAACAAATTGTTTTCTTTTTTAATGTCCTTCGTTTTCCCCTTTTGATGTATGGTCTCTTGCAGTAGCAAGTTTTTAATTTCAAGCTCCTAGGCTGCACTAAGTGAAATTGCACAGGTTTAGTATTAAAATGTAAAAATTGGAAGCAAATACTTAAACGTTTCAAGCATGGTGGCATCACCAAAATCTGTTCTATTCAATCGCTAAAACAACAGAAGAGGATTATTTTATTATGTGCAAACTTGGAATCCGTATCAGAATTGTACCTATCTAGAGATTATGGGAAAGTTGGCACAAGAAGGTCTGTATGTTTCTATCTTCAGAAGTGTTTTGAGATGATAAAGTTTCCATTCTGACTTATTTTCTGGTACCTTTTTAGCTGGAAGGTGAATAATAGGCTATATTGTGGGGCTTTTATGTATTATAGCGTTCCAAAAAAGGAGCAGGGGAGTTTGATGAGTTTGTCAACGATGACAGTGATGAAGATCTGCCCGTGTCTAGAAAGAAAAAGAAGAGGAAGGGCAGTGGTAGTGAACAAGATGGGGAAGAAGAGGAGGGTGAGAGAAAGAAGAAGAAGAGGAGGAGGTAACTGATATGACTTTAATGTTAGACTTCCCAGAGAAATAGTATGGCTTTTAAGTATATTCTCATGCAGTCTTTCATAACAGTTTAAAAAATGAGCGGTTGTCAAGGGGTCACCTTCATTTTTATTTACACATGCACATTATGAGAAACAGCCACTCTGCAAAAGGAATAACACTTGATAGACCAGACATTTCTTGAGACTGGTATTTCTTTAATGTGTTTTGCACTGTTATGCTTTACATCGTATAAAATATGTTTGCGTTTAAGACCCCAGAAGGCGGATGAGGGGAGTGATGATGAAGAACATGAAAACGGTCCAAGACCTAAAAAACGACGTCCACCCAAAGCAGAGAAGAAGAAGGCTGTAAGTTAAACCCTGAATAACTGCATCACTTTCTAAATATGCGTTTGGAGTTCAGCATTGCTCTAGTCAAGAGAGATTTATTAATGTTGAAAATTACAACAAAACTTCTTGTAGCAAACTGCCTTTGAGCGAGCTCTCGTCCCCCTCCCCTGTTGCTATTGCTTCTTCAAGGATGGAAAGGATATTTCTGAAGCCATCTACAATTAAATGATAGTAAATGGAAAATTTTTTAAAAGCACGTCTAGTTTTCTGAATCTGTTTCTGTGTTTGGGCTCCATGCATTAACCAGCCACATGAACAAGCAACCCTTTGTTTTTCCTCTTTACAGCCCAAACCAGAACGTCTGCCTCCTTCGATGAAAGGAAAGATCAAATCAAAAGCCATCATTTCATCAAGTGATGATTCTTCTGATGAGGATAAACTCAAAATTGCTGATGACGGGTAAGAATTGTAATTAACTTGGTACGTACTGAAGTTTCAATGCATGCTTTCCAGAGAAACTGCAGTGTTAATAGCAATGAGATAATGCAGAGATAATGAGACACCTTTCATTGTACTCACATCACTGTCTGTTGCATATTAACTCCACTTGTTCTCATCCTGATAATGCTAGCATTACTCAAATCCTGGTGTTTCATTTTATTTCTAAGCTAAGGAAAGCATCTTTTAATACTGGGGTTTTTTTCTCTTCCCTACAGACACGCTAGGAATAGCAACAGCGATTCAGACGATGGGGAACAGCAGCACAGTAAACGCATCGTTTCAGACAGCGATTCTGACCACAGAAACAAATCCGGTAGCGAGGCAGGGAGTCCGAAGAGGTCCAGTGTCCACCCCTCTGAGGAAGATTCTGACAGTGACCGGCCGGCCAGGAAAAGGAGGCGGTCAGATTCGGAGCAGTCTGACAACGAGTCTGTACAGTCAGGGAGAAGTCGTTCCGGTGGGTCAGAGAATGAATCGCGCCCGGCTTCTCGCAGTGCTGACTCAGACAGAGATTCTGAGAGAGGGTCTGACAACGAGGGTTCTGGCAGGGGCTCTGGCAATGAATCCGAACCAGAAGCATCGAATGATGAGGGGTCTGAAGGTGGTTCAGATGACAGCGATTAGGTCTAAGTTACAGATCATCCTTTTAAAATGTTCATGTAAATATGTTTCAGTTATAGGGAAAGTTCAATTTTTATATTTTAAAACTGTGATTTAAAGAAAAAAAAAAAACTTCATGTTTTAGTTAACTGTTGTGAGACCTTTCTGTGATTCTTTCTATTAGCAACTAATGCCTGTTTCTCTAGGTTGGCTTATACTGTATTCTTAAGTTGAAACTGCTGTAGATGAAGAACAGCACTGTACTATAATCAGCACACCGAGGAGGGAATGCATGTAAAAACTATGGAACATAAAAATCTGTTTAGGTGATTCCGATGTGGCTAAAACGTGTGTTCTGTGCTTATACATGCATAGGTGGATCTTAAAATCCTACCAAATGGAATAAAGAGCTGTGGATATTTATCTTTTTCCTCATTCTGAATAAAAGGTCAGTAGGGAGGTTTTTCTTACTTTCTATTAAAGAATACGTTTCTCATGATGCAACTCCTTATGTTTCCAAAAGTTTCTTCTCTCGCTTCTGTTTGTTAAATTAGGTGAAAAGATGCAGATATTAAAGAGACTATAAAGTAACAGTGCAGATGTAGGTGAACTACTTATTTGGTAGGTAAAAAAAAATGAGAACTACATATTACTTGAGAAGGGTAAAGCTGCCAGTGTCACAGTAAACTTCCTGTTTATTTCCTTGGAGTGATTTGCCTCTTAAAAGGTATAAACAGAAACCCTGAAAATGTTAAATTTGACACAAGAATGTGTTTTGAGGAAGTAGTCTTAACATTATTTTAGCTTAAGTACCTGGCTTTTGGAATTAAGTTTGTTTGTATAATGTGTTCAGCAGGAACAACAATGAAAAATTGATGTGTTTTAGACTAAAGTGAATCTGATTTCTCCCTGCAGTTTTGGAAAAAAAAAAAAAAAAAGTCATGTTTTGCACCAGTTTTTTCACTGGTCATGAAGTCTGATGTTAAGCATTTGCTAAGAGGAGGTTATGTAGATCTGGTCAGTATATTACTGTGGATGTGGATAGACTGTTGCTTTGGTTTTGGAAGGTCTGGATCGTCACTACTGATAGTTCACTTCAAGTACAAACTGAAAGTTAAGTTTCCCATGCTGCTATTTCTGGTTTGCTGTGAGCGTTAGCTGTTCTCGTTGCGTATGTGTTTTTCATGTGTTTACAGGCTGTTGGTAACCATAACAGACAAAACCGAATGTAGAACAGTTGAGACGTCTCTCTTTGTGGTCAGTTTGGTATCAAGTTTCTATATGTGGTCTTACCTAAAACGTACATGCTTGATAACAGACAGCTCTCATGCTTGTTGGGATTAGAGCGAAACTGAATCTTAATTCAGTCTTCTTGTTGATATAGTCACTTCAGTGGAAGATTTGCGGCAGTCCAAGGCTGAAAGCTAGGTAGCTTTGAAAACATACACGTGAGGAATATTTGCGGCCCTTGTAGGAAATGATTCTCCTGTTGATAGAATCGTGACCCGGGTCTCACCTCTCTCAGAATCGCAAGGCAGCACTGGATAGATGAGGTATGTACGCTTCATGTCACGCTGCTTCACTTACGAAGCTATAAAGTAGCATGAGGAAATCAATGCATCTGAAGAAAACTAACACATGCAAGGTGAAACAAATGGAGCACTGGCAGCAATGTCAAGTATGGGAGTAACCAGCTTTTAGCAATGGGAAGGAAAAAGGAAAACGTACAGTACTTACTATGGGACTTTAGTGGAGATGTATTGGAGGCAGAAAAATGTTTCTGTCGTAGCCTTCTTATGTTATTAATAGCATCTTTCTTACGAAAGGTCTGAAGGTCTTGGTTTGGTGCTGTATGAAGCAAAATGTATTTTCTGTAGGTGAAAGTTAGCTCCAGATAAAGTGCTGAGTGGCTCTTCAGATCAAACATCCAGTTGGAGAGAAATATTTTCAGTAAGTGTAAAATTAAAGGGGTTTCCATACATGTATTGTCTGAAAAGTAAGTGGATTTTTTGAGACTTCCACAGTCAGGAGGCCTGTAAGAAGAGGTTATAACTTGAAAGGGTTCAAAATGCATGATATCCAAGAGGCCAATCATCAGGGAAGGAAAGGGGCAGGTCATGCTTTTGCTTCTGTCTTACCCTGCTTTTACTGAGCAAAAGGAGGAAAAACAAACCCACCAAAAAACAGGAGTCAACATTTTTTTTTCTTCCCTTTGATTAGGAGAGTTAATGGCAGGATTATGGTTACATAAAAAAAGTCACATGGCGCTGTAATTGGAGAGAAAGCTGTGTTTTAGCTTAATTCATATTTTCTAATGCTTGTTTTTTGAAAGTGCAATGGTGGAATAATGTTGCTGTCATTCTCTTGGCAGCATCCCTTGCCTTCTGAAGTAGGTGGCTGGCTTGCAGCTGTTAAATTCCTTTATTTAAAGCAGTAATCTATTCCTAGTTTGTTATTCATCCACTAACAAGTTGTATGACTGTATGACTGTATGAAGAGTGTTTCCTATTGAGCTCTCCTGCAGTTTAGTGTTTTGCTCTCCTCACATGAGAGCATTTCTTCTCTAGAATACAATAGAAAAGGATCGTGATGTTTGCTGTTAGCAAGCAATTTAAAACAAAAAACAAACCAACCTGAAATTTATGGACTAGGCCCTTCACAGAACAAATACTTCACATGTAACTCCAGTAACTGAAGTTGCTGAGTTGTTGTGTGGTTTGGGGTTTTTGTTTTGTTCTGGTTTGATTTTTATTTTTTATTTTTTTTAATCCACCTACTCAAGTTTTTCAAAATTTTTCCAGGTCAGTACTTGGTGAGAAGGAGTAGCTGTCACTTTGGAGCATATAAATTGATTTATTTTCTTTCTAAATCTCCACTTCTGCTAATTTAACTCTGAAAACAACAGTTGTCTACCCACATGGAAGGTGCGGGAATATATTTGGAAACGTGCTGCCAAGGAATGCTTTGGACAAGGCAGGACCAGGAGCTGTAGGAGCACTGCAGCTAAAACTGTATCTTTTTTTTTTATAAGGAAAGGCCTCTTTCTGGGAATAAGTTCCTTTTCATGGTAAATGTTCCACTGTTTAGAGCAGGGGTTCTCAACCTTTCCTTCACCACGGACCCCCCGTAAATACCTTTTGTGGCTGCAGAACAAACAGCAAGACTTAATTCCAGATTTAAAGCACTAGACTGCATCAAGTATTTATTTCAGTTTTCTCATGAAGGGTCTCCAAATTTGAAGAGAAGGGGGAGTAAGTTAATCTGTGATGCACACACTCCTATTATAAATCTTTATTGCAGTGAGTCCATATGAATTTAAAACAATGGCATCAACACAACTACCGCATGGAACCATGAGTAAGAGAGGATAGTGGGCAGGTGGATTAGATCAGTACACCTGAATTTCACAGAGCCTGTTCTCACAGATACCGTTGTGTGCAGGAACAATCTTTCTACCCCTCTGGCAATTTGTGTGACTTGACTAGGATTTCAGGTGCTTTGGGCCAGGATGATTTCTTACTGAGTTGTACAGTACCTAAGATGCTGGAACCCAAACTTGTTCAGATCTCCAGCTGCTATTTTAAAATCGTATTTATTATTTCTTTAACTTTTATGGTGGTTGTTTTTAATAATAATGCCATAACATTTTCCTAAACTATTGTAGTGTTTATAACCATTTTATTTTCTTGTATTTGAGTGTACTGAATGTATAATTATTACTGTGGCAAAACCCCATCACTTTAAAAAATATAATACAGATAGCGTCAATGTTTTTCACTCAGATTCCAAGATGACTTACCCTTTATTTAGCCTTTAACTCACAACAGGAAAATACAGTCTCCTGTAATTCATATCAGATCCTTTCTGTCTGATCTACAGGGCCATTGCAGCACAACTGTATCTTACTTGATTATAAAATGGCAAGCATTGTTGCTTGATTAATAGTAAGATACTATCTCCAACCTCCTTCTCCTTCACAGTAGAAAAGCTAGTGAAAATGATCTGGGTTTGGTTTTGAATGGTTTAATTTAAAAAGAGAGTACAAACACATAATTTTACTGTAGGAAAGGCTGAAGTCCTGGCTAAGAGTATGACTTGCAAACAAATTAAGGCCAGAATTGTCTTACAGAATTAAACATTTACTCCTAACAGCTAATCTTCATTGTTGATCCCCACGTTGAAGAGCTAGGTTTTGGGCCAGGCATGCCTTGATTCATTTCCTGTCTTAAGTGAACTGCTACAAAGCTGCTTTGCTTTTAGAATATTTTCTGTAGGCAATTAATCAATATCTTCTGGAAAGCTTCAGCACAGGCTATGGTTATAGTTGCACAATCACTGAGGTTGCCAAATAATCACATGCATTTACTTTGTAGAAACTTCCCATAATGATTTGTTTAAAAAACCCAAAACAAACACCACCACCCCCAAAAAAGCCCCATAAACCAAAACCTGACAAAAACCCACTCTCCAAGCCAGATGACTGTAAGTGAGGGCCTTGTAAATCACTGGAAGACTGACAGCTAACTTGCTCTAACTGAACTACCATGCTGTAGTTAGCTTTTCTGGTGCCTGAGGTAACTCAGGACTTGTAAGGTTCCAGCTCCTGTGGTACTGGTGAATCCCTTCAGAGGGATCTTGTACAAAGGGTCGGGTCCTTCATACCCCAGTACCCCTCAGTCCCTGCCAGCAGGGGACAGGATAGACGTCATTCAGCTTAGCCATTTCTTTCTGAATTTCTTGAAGGTACCCAAGGAAATACCTCTCTAGGAAATTTCTTCTCAGTATTTGAGTTGTGCTTGAGGCTGGGTTACAGAAATGTTCATCTCTCTTTTGGACCTGCTGAGGCTGTGTGATTCCCACGGAAAGTAGATCTGTGCTTCACACTTACTGGAGGCGCCTCTGGCTTGAGCAGAGGCAGAGAAATCCTGGGCGGAAGCTCAGGTGTGCAGAGCACCGGCACAGCAGTTTGTGTACAGTGCAATTACACGTTCATATGGAATTACAGCAAATTTTATTTTGGCGTTATATGGCCAGGTGATTTAGATGAATTCCATTTATCTTCAGACATCTAAAAATTAGCAGTCTAGACACCTTGTATGGCCGTGGGAGGCCAGGGACTGGCATCCCCAGAGGGCAAATCATCCCACCCCAAGATAACCATCTAAGGGAGGTGCAGTGAATCACTTTCTGGGGAGCCTGTTGCTGTCTGTTGCCTAAGGAGTGTGTAGATGTCTAGACACTCCACATTTGGATAGTTAAATCTAAGTAAGAGGAAACCCACCCAGCGAAACAGTGGCTCAGGCATTATCTTTGTTATTGATTTGAATTAGTTTCCAATTTTAGACATAATTTAACCCTGTCCTCCCCCTCCCAAGAACAATCGGGTAGGATCAAGTTTATATGAGCTCTAAAGTTTGATCAAGTTTGATGGCTCTAGAACTTCAAGGGAGATTTCCAAGAAGAGGCTTGCGTACAGTTGGTATCCCTCTACCAGTTCCCTTCATATTTTGGCTTTTATGAGAACTTTTTTGTTACATGTAGGTTTTTTTCCAAATTGTATTTTAGGTCTGCTGTTTCAGCAAATGTCAACAGCAAACTTTTTCTCATAGTGTCTGCTAAACTTAAGAATTACTTCTTGTGCATCTGTGGAAGTATCTAGCAAATTGTCTGAGAAATCCAGATGGAACCCTCCGCAGCTTTGCAGTAAGTACACACAGAGTGTAACGTGGGCACGCTGCGGTGAGCGGGGCAGCACTGCTGGCACTCTGCCCCTTGCAGTGGCCCTCCCCGGTGGAACCTACTGAAGGTGTGTGCCAAAAGGCAGAGAGGGGTGGGCCTTCTCAGCTTTTGTTGCATCATCCCCAACAATGTTGTAAATTACTGAGCTATTTATCTGATTGAATGTATGAATGCTCCTTCATCATGTCTAAGTAATTCATGGTCTTGAAAGTGCATCGAGTTGGTACTGTCATCACATGGATTCTATAGGAGAACTACGGGGAATTGCAGGTCACCATGGAAATGCTCACTGGAGCAGGAAAGGAAGCAGATGCATTGATCTAGTGAGTAATCAGTTATCTACCCCCTCCTGAGAAGTGCAGTACCCTAGCTCTCGTTACCTTGTCACGCTTCGCACTTCCTCCTCTGCTTTCAAACAGTTTCTTTGTATAAAATTGGGCCAGTCCTGCTTCTCAGACTGGCTGACTGTGCTGCATGTTTTGAGAACACTTGAAGTTAAAATGTCAGCTGAACCCGAGTACAGCTCCTGTACTGGTCCTGGCTAACAGCAGGAACAGAGCAAGCCTCTACCACAGCCAACTCTGACGTTGGTGTAATTTAGAATTACCTTGAACATTTAATTCAAATCTGCAAGATTCTTCTCTGAGAAGGGCCAGTCCTCCAGTATTCTATGCTCTGTAAAGTGATTAAATCTTCAACTGCCTGCAAAGTCTGAAAGAATATCCAATTATTCTTTTAAGGGTTAAAGAAAATCACCAGAGAAATGCAAAACAAGCTTTCACCTGTATTTTAACTCTAATGCTTTTCCTAACATTCCCTGTCTTATTCGAATTTCACTTTACCCTACCAGAAACATCTCTTATACCAGAACAAATTCTATAAACTCTTCATCCTTCACATATTTTATCAAGCCAGTTAAAGACCCTTTTCTTTCACAAACTTAAGTGTTTTCGATAGCTTTGTAGATAATAAAATTGTGGGAATACTTCACACATCAGATCCTTCAGGCATCTGCACTGCTAACAAACAAAACCTAAATGTAGTTTATGTTGTTACAAAACTTCAAAATATTTGAAGATAAAAATCCCACTCAGATGGTTCCTTTCCTTGCTCCAGCCATGTATTTATGCCAAGTGTAACTCCGTTGTCATAGCGGCTTGGTCAACTCCTTAAAAATAACATTTCACTAGTCTCCAACTACCAGCTGTATGGAATCTGTGAGAGGAAAGGGATGTGGGCTCCATAAAATGAATCCAGATGTGCCTGTATCACTTCTAACATCACCACATTAGAGGCTCACCATTTCAAGGAATTCCTTCTACCTAAACATTCAGACCCTGAACCTCAGCGG